TTGAATCCCAGCTCTGTTAACAAACCCTGAACCCATATCATCTCTTTACTGGCTTCAGTCACTGCAACATACTCAGCTTCTGTAGTGGATAGGGTAACGATCTTCTATACCTGTGACATCCAACTAACAGCTATAGTTCCGACGGTGAATACATAGCCAGTGGTGCTTCTTCGTTGATCGACTTCACCGCCGAAGTCTGCATCTACGTACCCTTGCACTTCCACCTCTTCCTTACCAAAGTGCAAACACTTCTGTGTGGTGCCTCATAGATATCTCAGAATCCACTTGACCGCTTCCCAATAAGCTTTTCCTGGATTCGACATAAACCGGCTGACCACTCCCGCTGCATGCCCAATATCTGGTCTCGTACAGACCATTGCATACATCAAGCTTCCAATAGCTGAGGCGTAAGGAACCTGAGCCATACTCTCTTTCTCTTCTTCTGATTGAGGAGACTGATCCTTTGACAGACGAAAATGGCTGGCCAAGGGTGTGCTCACAGGCTTGGCAATCTCTGCAAAACACGGTTGATGTACTCCGTCTGAGATAACTGCAAGAGACCTCTCTTCTTATCTCTCGTGATTTGCATTCCAAGGATCTTCTTCGCTGGACCCAAGTCCTTCATGTCAAACTCCTTTGACAGCTGTTGCTTCAAACTCCTGATATCCTCCATATCTGCTCCTGCAACTAACATATCATCAACATACAGCAGTAGGATGATATAGCTGGACTGATATCTTTTGAAGTAGAAACAGTGGTCGGCGTTGCACTTCTGGAAACCTTCCTTGTGCATGAAGCCGTCAAACTTCTTATACCACTTCCTTGGGGCTTGTTTCAGGCCATACAAGCTCTTCTTGAGTCTGCACACCAGGTTCTTCTTCTTTTCTTCTGAGAAACCTTCTGGCTGGTGCATGTATATCTCCTCTTCCAGATCTCCGTGAAGAAACGCCGTCTTCACGTCTAACTGCTCGAGATGAAGATCTTCAATTGCTACAATACTCATCACGGTCCTGATAGTATTTAGCTTCACCACGGGAGCGAAAATATCGGTGTAGTCAATTCCTTCCTTCTGCTGGAAACCTTTGACAGCCAATCAGGCTTTATATCTTCTGGAACCATCCTGCTCCTCTTTCACCCGGTACACCCATTTGTTGTGGAGTGCCTTCTTACCCGTGGGCAACTAAGCTAGTTCCCACGTCTGGTTAGATATGAGAGACTTCATCTCATCTTTCATTGCAAGCTCCCACTTGCTCGCATCTCCACACTGACAAGCTTCATCAAAGCTTTCAGGCTCCCCACCATCTGTCAACAACAGATAGTTCATGTATCTCCTATTGGGTACAGGAGGACGAGAAGATCTTCTTAATATCGGAGCTGGTGCGTCGGGCTCCTGCGCACCATCTTGTCCAACAGGCTCTTCTTGCTGAGGACCCTCTGCATTGGGTTCTTCCGAGAGGTTACTCGGGACATCATCTGCATCTACAAATATTGACTCGCTCTCTGAGTTATTTGTCTTGTGCATGTCCTTGTACATCACCTTCTCGTTGAATATCACATCTCTGCTCCGGATCACCTTCTTGTTTTCGTTGTCCCAAATGCGGTAGCCGAACTCATCTTCACCATAGCCGATGAAAGTGCATTTCTTTGACTTGGGATCAAGCTTATTCCTGCCTTGATCACTAATATGCACGTAAGCTACACAACCGAAAACTTTAAGATGTGAGAGTTTTACCTCCTTTCCGCACCATACCTCCTCTGGTATTCTGTGCTCCAATGGAACCGATGGACCTCGGTTGATCAAGTAAGCTGCTGTGTTGACCGCTTCTGCCCAGAACTGCTTCGGTAGGCCTGACTGTACTCGAATGCTTCTGGCTCTCTCTGTCAACGTTCGGTTCATCCGCTCAGCTACACCATTTTGCTGAGGCGTGCCGGTCACGGTTCTCTCCATTCTGATCCCGTGCTCATAGCAGAACTTCTTGAATCCGGTGTCTTCATCCATTGTCGGTCCTGAGCTTTTTTATTCTCAGACCGGTCTCATTCTCGACCATGGCTTTCCATCTTCTGAAAGCCTCAAACACTTCTGACTTTTTCTTCAGAAAGTAGACCCATACTTTCCGAGAGTGATCATCGATAAAAGTCACGAAGTAGTGTTTTCCACCAATGGACGCGGTGGTTGTTGGTCCCCACACATCTGAGTGAACGAGCTCTAGCTTCTGCTTCCTGGGGGTTCTGCCACTTGTCTGAAAGCTGACTCTCTTCTGCTTTCCAAGTATGCATTCTTCACACATATCCATCTCCACTGACTGCAGTCCTGGGAGTTTTCCCTTTGTATGCATGATTTTCATCCCCTTCTCACTCATATGACCGAGTCTCTGGTGCCACAGCTTTGAAGTCTCATTGCCTGCTGCAACTGAGATCTGTAACTGAGATCAAACAACGTGCACTTGCTGTCATATACAGGGTATCAGTCTTCTTACCTCGGGTAATTGTCATTGCGCCCTTTGAGATCTTCCAATCATCTCCATGGAAGGTCGTGGTATATCCTTCGCCAGCCAACTGGCCTACGGATATTAAATTTTTTCTCAGGTCGGGAATATGCCTGACATCCTTCAGCTCCCATACTGACCCGTTCAACTTAATTTTCACCACGCCTTTGCCCACAATAGCACATGGTTGATCATCACCAAGATACACGTATCCAAGATTTCCGGGGGTATACTTCTCGAAGAATTCTTTCTGAGAGGTAGCATGGAACGACGCTCCTGAATCTAACACCCAAGATTCCTCCTTGCTCTCCAAAGAGCATATCAATGCGTCGTCTCCTCCTGAAGTGGAAGTGACATTCACCTCTGCCTTCACTTCCTTCTCCTTCTGTGCGCTCTTGCACTGATTCTTGTAATGCCCGGTCTTTCCACAATTCCAACACTCGATAGCCTTCGAGTTGTTGCTTGGATTCCTCGATTTGGACCTCCTGTCCTTTGATCTACCTCTGTAGTTTGATTTTCCTCGTCTGTTTCCTCTGGTTGAATTTCTACCTCTTGACTCTGTATGCAATACTGAAGAGGTTGTAGCTTCACCCGTCTCTCTCCGTCAGATCTCCTCGCTGAGAACCAAATCACGAACGTCGCCGAACTTCAACTTTTTCTTTCCCGACGAGCTACTCACAGCTGTGACTGTAGCGTTCCAACTCTCTGGTAGGGAAGACAGAAGTATCAACGTCCGAACTTCATCATCAAACTCAATCTCAACTGAACTCAATTGGGTTGTAACCGTATTAAGTTCATTGAGGTGTTGTGCTACTGACGCGCCGCATCAAATGAACTTTGTTCGCGGCTGATGGCTTCTCATACATGTTTGAGAGTGCTGCCATAAGACCTGCCGTGGTCTTCTCCTTTGCTATGTTGAACGCAACATTGCGAGTCAACGTTAATCTGATAACTCCTAGGGCTTGTCTATCTAAAAGGTTCCACTCTTCTTCCTTCATAGAATCTGGCTTCTTCCCCGATAGTGGTTGATACAGTTTTTTCTGATACAGATAATCCTCTATCTGCATTTTCCAGAATCCGAAATCTGTTCCATCAAATTTCTCAAGTCTCATTTTTGCCTCATCTGCGGCCATGGCTCCCACTTGAATCTGACTTTCTCTAGATCGTTTCACGCTCTGATACCAGTTGTTGGGAATTTAACGCTGAAACCCTTAATGCAACAGAAACGCAGTATAGAAAAAAGTACACCAAGATTTACGAGGTTCGGCAACTGCCTACGTCCTCGGGAGCCACATAGATAATTTCTTATTAATCAAACAAGAAATTACAATTATAAGAGCAGATCAAAAATTGAGATCTCTCAATTAAACACTGTAGCTACAGTGTTAATAATTAAAGGGTATGAACCCTTTCAATTCTCACTTGAGAATAAATACCCCACAATATAAAACCCCTTTTCAATTTCCTCTCTTTCTCTCTCTTCTTTAATCTCTTTTAAATCTCCCCTCAAATGAAATTGAGAGCTGGAGATTATCAAAATCGCTACTGCGATTTGGGGAAAACGCTGCTGCGTTTTAGGGCTGATCGCCGCCGCCAGAGAGAAACGAAGAAAAAGGGGGGAAGCTTCAGCGACCACGAAAAAACCCTAGGCTGGGGGGGGTTTTATAGGCGGATGGAAGGGCTGGCGACAGCCTGTCGCCAGCGGCTAAACCTGACGCAAAGGTCAGGTTCGAACGCAGAGCAAAGGGGGGGTTCGAACGCCGACTTTGAAGAGTGCGTTCGCCGAAGTGTGCGTTCGCCGAAGGTTGCGTTCGTCGACTTCGCCTGCGTCATCTCCGCCATTCTCGAGCTCGTCGGAGCTCCTCCGCCGTCGGAGGTTTGGTTTCCACCCCCAAATCTAACATCTATGTCCAGAGATCTGTAGGATTGGAATGAAAACATTCTTGCTTAACTTGTTGGCTTTCAGTATTTCTTTATTCTATTCTGCCTTTGGGAATAAGTTGCCTATTTGAGAATATCTTAAGATGTTACATGAGATATTCATCCTTCATCACTCTGGTGATGTTCTCTTTTGGTTATGGACCATGATTCGGGTAAATTGAACAACTCTATTCCATTTGTCTGCCAATATGTGCAGCAATATCATCAAATGGTTTCTCTTTTGAAGATAGATTCGAAGCGTAATTTTGCTAAGATATGGTTTCTGTTTTTAATGTCTGATATCGTCTCAATGAAATTCCAAGTGCTCGATACCTCGAAGAAAGAAGAAAGAAGAAAGAAAAAAGGAGAGAAAAAAGAATGACGATAAATGAAGGTTGATACAGTATAAGCAAAAAACTTAGTAGAACAGTTGCTTCAGCGCATGAGCTAAAGAACAGTTGAAGCAAGATTCTTGGTGCAGACTTAAACTTCAAATTTGCAAAAATTAACTGAAGGGAAGAGAAGGATTTGAATAGATTAGATCATACTATATCTTCCACTTGAATAAATTAGATCATATCATAATAAATCCTATTAATAGGCTGAATTCAACAAATCAATCATGGGTAACATATCTTTCGACAAAAATTTCTTCTCTTTGACCAATGAGATAGCTGCTTTCAGGTATCTGTTCTTCTCATTTGACTTAGGTCTCTTCTCTGTAATGGAAATGGCAAGCAATATCATTTGGAAAGAGATTGTGGAGGACAAAGGCGTCGATGATAGCTGCAGTAAGAAGAGCCATCACTGTTAAGGCAGAGATGGCAGAGAGACCGAAAGAAAGTGATTTAGTGAACACATTTGTGACATTTGTCGAATATCTAAAAGTTGCAATTGAAGCCCCCGTCACTGGGAAAGTATATGCCCACCATGATAGCGAAAACCTAATGAACCAGATACTTTTTTCCATAAATATGTAAGTAGAGGGACAATAAATTATTTGAGAGACAAAGTTCTTTAAAAGGAAAAAAAAATTAGTACCTGAACCCTGTGAAGAAATTAACTCTTACAGCCTACATACACAGGAGAAGAAGCACAAGGAAGCAAATTAAACACAATAAGAGGTAAAAAGTTAATGTTGTTGGAGGAAAGGGGTAAATATGATTGATACACAAGAGATAATCAATCCATCCTTTGAACGAAGTAGTACGGAACGAATAAATCAATAAATTATGATGAAGAAGAGGATAGCAGCAGTTGCAATTCAAGTTTCTCAGATAAGTTTTGGATCCTCAGTTGTATCAAGATCCTGTTGCATTTAGATTGTAATTGATCCTGCTAGTAACCGCTACATTAGCCTATCACATAATCCACTGCTTTGTATTTAATGATTTCTTAGATTAACTCATCGATTAGTAAAAGATGCATGTGTTTCTCATTAATTTGATATTGTTACCACGTCTTATTCATCCCATCTTAAATCATTAGTAAATAGCAAATTTATTATTCACTAAAAGAAACTTGGTAAAAAGTGAGAGAAAAACTTACAAGTGAAGCATAGAGGAATAGTGCAACTAAATAAGCTATTCTCGACCCATAACCAAAGTCGCCAGAAATCTCTTCCCATGCGATACAAGCAACACTCGGTGCTGCAACAAACAAAAAGAATACTGGATGAAGATCTTTGGGCAGCGTTTCATTTGTCGGAAGTCTCTGATACAGAGTCACAAACAGTACAATGTAGTGAGCCAACCCAATAGCAAAGAAGAAAACAGGCCCCTCTTTAAGCCCCATATGTGCACCTAGCAAAGCGCCAACAAAATTCCCCACGATTGATAAATGATTTGAAGGATTAGCCACCTTCGACAGCCTACGTTTTCCACCAGACATCCATTGGCCATAAATCTTGAGCTCAAGACAAAAGATTGGAGCCATAAGCACATACCAAAGAGCAGGACTGAGCTTTTCACCAACAACCGGGGGCAAACCAAGAGCTAAGAAGAGGAAAGCTATCCATGGAGCAAAGAAAAAGTTGACCCTATTCGGGTGGTAATACTCTCTTCGAACAGATTCAAAGTAAAATATTAGCTTCAGCGAATAGATGATGGACATAGTAACTATCAATACAAGAGAGATGCACCAAAGAATGAGGTTTATCGCCAAGCATGCATGTAATGTTGGGAAGAAATATTTGGAGGTGATGGGGAGAAAGTGTTTAAGAATTCGGGAGACAATAGAAAATTTAGGAAGAAGAAGATTTTTATTTTTTTTGAACACCTTATAACAACTTGGAACTTCTTGATTACAAATGAGAGGGAAGGGGAAGTATTTATAGCCTCCAAAGTACAAAATATCTAGAATATTTTAATCCTAAATCTAGAGAGTTCTAGCATAATATCTAGAATTTTATATTACAATTATCTAGAGAAATATCTAGATATTCATTCTCTATAATTTTCTAGAACATTTTAAGGAGGTGAAGATGTTTAGATATTTCTAGAGAAAACTCTAGAACTTGGATCAAGTATTGGGTTTTGGCCCAACAAGTGATAATTGGATCATTGATCCAATAATTAAACTTGATCCAAAATCTAGTTTACTTTTCAACACCCCCTCTTAAACTTGATTTTGCTACTCCAAGCAAACTCATCATCTTGATAAAATCTTCGCGCTTGAGAGGCTTGGTGAAGATATCAGCTATTTGATCATTCATCTTCACGTACTCCAATTGAACGTCCCTCTTGGTAACACACTCTCTAATGTAGTGCTAACGAGTGTCAATGTGCTTACTTCGATCATGGAAGACTAGGTTCTTCGTCAAAGCTATTGCTGACTTATTATCCACTAAGATCTTCGTTGGCTCCTTTTGTGGCAAACTCAACTCCTTTAACAGGTTCTGTAACCAAACAACATGGCAAACACATGAAGTTGTCGCTACATACTCCGCTTCACAAGTAGAAAGGGTGACAATTGGTTGCTTCTTTGACATCCATGTGAAAGCTGTATCTCCAATGAAGAACACGAATCCGCTTGTGCTTTTTCGGTCATCTACATCTCCACCCCAGTCGTTATCGCTAAATCCAACAAGCTTGTAATCGTCAGAAACAGAGTAATACAAGCCAAAGTTTATGGTACCTTTGATATAGCGAAGTATCCTTTTAGCTACCTTGAAATGAGTTGTTGTTGGATGCTCCATGTATCGGCTCACAACTCCGACTGCATATAAGATGTCAGGTCTTGTGCACGTTAAGTAGCGTAGGCTTCCAACCAAGCTCTTAAATAGTGTTGGATCTACACTCTCTCCTTCTTCTTGCTTTGACAATTTGGCTTCACATTCCATTGGCGTGCTTACTAGATTCGAGTCATCCATCTTGAACTTCTTAGGAACCTCTTTAACATAGCCTTCTTGAGTAATAAAAATTCCATTATCTTCTTGTCTCACTTCAATTCCAAGGTAGTAAGACATCAATCCAATATCGGTCATCTCGAACTCCTTCGTCATCTCCATCTTGAATTCCTCGAACATACTTGGATTGTTGCCTGTGAATATCAAGTCATCTACATACAAGCATGCAATCAATATATCATTGTTTTGAGTTTTGATATAGAGTGCATGCTCATATGGACACTTGATGAAACTTTTCTCCTTGAAGTACTTATCAATTCGAGTATTCCAAGCTCTCGGTGCTTGTTTTAACCCATAAAGCGCCTTCTTTAACCTCAAGACTTTGTCTTCTTCTCCCTTGATTATGTAGACTTGTGGTTGCTCAATGTAAACTTCTTCTTCAAGATCTCCATTTAAGAAGGTTGATTTGACATCCATTTGATATATCCTCCAATTGTTTTGAGCTACCAATGAAATGATTAATCTAACAGTTTCTAGACGAGCAACAGGAGCGAATACCTCGTCATAGTCGATTCCCGCTCTTTGACTATAACCTTTTGCCACCAATCTTGCCTTGTATCTTTCAACTTCTCCTTTAGAGTTCTTCTTTGCTTTGTACACCCACTTCACACCGATCGCCTTATGCCTATTTGGAAGTGAAGCTAACTCCCATGTCTCATTCTTTTGTATCGCCTTGATCTCTTCATCCATTGCATTTCTCCATGTCTTCTTCTTCATAGCTTCTTCGAAATTCATGGGCTCACAATCCGCAAATAGACAAAATAAAGTAAGATTGTCTTGATTTTCAGTTACGTCGTAAAGTTCTTGTAGACTTCTGAAACGTGGAGTCCTTTCGCTCGAACTTTCATCTTCTTGAGAACTTGTTGTTGGTGAAGTTGGTGGGGTAACAGGCTCCTCTCTTGGTTGCTCCAATTTATATTCTTCAACATGTGAAAAGAAGTTGTAGTCTTCATCATTTGATCTCCAATCCCATTCTCCTTCTTCATCAAAGATGACATTTCGACTGATGATTGTCTTCTTTGTATCAGGATTGTAGAGCTTGTAGCCTTTGGAGTTGGCATCGTAACCAATAAAGATGTACTTCTCACTTTTGTCATCTAGTTTGCTCCGCTTCTCGTCCGGTACATGAGCGTGAGCAAGGCTTCCAAAGACTCTTAGATGAGAAACACCGGGCTTCCTTCCGCTCCAAGCTTCTTATGGTGTTTTTTCCGAAACACTTCTTGTTGGAGATCGATTTGATAGATAAACCGCGCATGCAACTGCTTCTACCCACAACTCTTTTGGTAGTTTCTTACTTTTGAGCATGCTCCTCGCCATTTCAAGGATTGTCCGGTTCTTCCTTTCCACAACTCCATTTTGTTGAGGGGACCTCGACACCGTCAATTGTCTTCGAATACCGTTATCTTCACAATACTTCTCAAATTCCTTGGATGTGAATTCTCCTCCACGGTCGGATCTCATGGCTTTGATCACAAGGCCACTTTCCTTCTCAACATGGGCTTTGAACTTTTTGAAGTTTTCAAACACTTTTGATTTTTCCTTCAAAAAGTAAACCTATGTTTTTCTTAAAAATCATCAATAAAGAGAAGAAAGTAGTTACTTTTACCGAGTGATCTTGGTTTGATCGGGCCACATACATCTGTATGTATGAGTTCCAATAGCTTCCGCGCTCTTGTGTCTGACTCCTTTGGAAAGCTCATTTTGAATTGCTTTCCAAGTAGACACCCTTTACACACTTGATTTGGATGGTTGATGCAAGGCAATCCTCTCACCATCTCCTTTTTAGAAAGTAGCTCTAATCCTCCAAAGTTGAGATGCCCGAATCGAAGATGCCAAAGCCAGGACTCCTCCTTGTAGCACATCTTGAGACATTGTGCGATGTCATTTTGAATGTTAAGAACAAACATTCTATTCTTTGACATCAGCACCTTGGTAATGAGATTTTTTTCTTGGTCTCTTATAGAAAGGTTATTATCCTTTAATCAAATATCATAATCTTTCTCTAAGAGTTGTCCAAGGCTCAATATATTGGTCTTCATGCTTGGGATATAGTAAACGTTGGAAATAAATTGATGATCTCCATTCTTCAATCGGATGAGAATATTTCCTTTACCTTTCACCTCCATCTTCGATTCATCTCCCAAAGCCACATTTCCTTTCACCGATTCATCAAGCTCCACGAACATGCTTCTTTTCCCGCACATGTGATTGCTTGCACCGCTATCGAGGTACCACTTGTGAACCTCATCTTGTTCATCTTTCTTGTAAGCCATCAATAGCATATCATCTTCTTGGCTTCTTTCTTCAACATAATTGGACTTCTCTTCAACTCTATTATTGTTTGGAGCTTTGCATTCGGAAGCATAGTGTCCAAACTTTCCACAATTATAGCATTTAACGCTTGACTTATCGTACCTTGGTTTTTGATTTCCTCTCCCACGACCTCTTGATGAGCTTTCTCCTCTTTGGTTGGTGTTTTCATCATGAGGCCTTCAACTTCGTCCATTTCCATATCCACGACCTCGTCCTCGGACTTGACCGCCACCTCGTCTTTGATAACTTCGTCCGCTTTCTTCTTTAGTTTGATCAATCCGCATCTTGAGTACTTGTTCTGCAATATCTTCCTTCTTCTTCTTTTCTTCATAAGCTTGTAACGAACCAAGAAGTTGCTCCATCGTCATAGTCTCCAAATCCTTTGTTTCTTCAATGACAGTGACAATATGCTCGAATTTTGGATCCAACGATCTAAGAACCTTCTCCATGATTCTCACCTCATCTAACTTCTCGCCATTTCTCTTTAGGTTATTAGTAACCATTAAAACTCTTGAGAAGTAATCGGAGACGAGTTCACCTTCCTTCATTTGCAACGCTTCAAATTCTCCTCTTAGAGTTTAAAGACGTACCTTCTTGACTTGATCTGATCCCTTGTAAGAAGTTCGAAGCTTCTCCCATGCTTCTTTGGCCGTCTTTGCTCCTGCGACCTTCTCGAATGTATCTTCATCTAGACCTTGATAGATTAGACAGAGAGCCTTCTTGTCTCTCTTCCTTGATTCTCTCAAACTATCCTTTTGAGTTTGAGATAGACTACCATCATTCTTCGGTTCAATGAAGCCTTTCTCGACTATCTCCCACACGTCATGTGCTCCTAGGATAGCTGTCATTCTTAGACTCCAATTATCGTAGTTGCTCTTTGTGAGCATCGGGACTTGAAAGGGAACACCGTTACTCGCCATCTTCAAGGGAATCGCGAAACCCATTTATGTGTTGGGAAGAAATATTTGGAGGTGATGGAGAAAGTGTTTAAGAATTCGGGAGACAATAGAAAATTTAGGAAGAAGAAGATTTTTATTTCTTTTGAACACCTTAGAACAACTTGGAACTTCTTGATTACAAATGAGAGGGAAGGGGAGGTATTTATAGCCTCCAAAGTACAAAATATCTAGAATATTTTAATCCTAAATCTAGAGAGTTCTAGTATAATATCTAGAATTTTATATTACAATTATCTATAGAAATATCTAAATATTCATTCTCTATAATTTTCTAGAACATTTTAAGGAGGTGGAGATGTTTAGATATTTCTAGAGAAAACTCTAGAACTTGGATCAAGTATTGGGTTTTGGCCCAACAAGTGATAATTGGATCATTGATCCAATAATTAAACTTGATCCAAAATCAAGTTTACTTTTCAACATGTAAAGCCAAAAAGGGTACATGATCAGACAGTTTTCCATAGAATGGCTTGACTGCTTACTCCAAGGCACATACCGAAAGAGGATATGGGAAAGCGAAGAAGAAATGGCCACTTCTGCTCTGTCGGGAGGACTGATACCTCTGGAGTCTGCAGATAAATTTTTTAATAGGTCAGTATTTCACAATAATGACTAATTTCTCTTTATGGTGCAGTTTTCTCATTATTAGAAACTGCATTACTTGAAAACTAGAATAGCATTAAAGAGTCTTATATGAAAGGATTTTGTTTCAGAATCAAATTCCTCTAAGAAGTTAAGATCATTATGCCTGATAACAAAATCAATGGAAAATATAGGATGCGTATTGGCATATTCAGATCACATTAGAATTTACTAGTTGTCGCTCAGATATCAGCCAAAAAAATCTCAAATTACTTGGAGACTGCTTGACTGGTTGCCACTTTCAAACTTATATTTGTATGATTAGTTCACTTATATGGGCACCTGGTTCCAGTAACATTCATCAGGATATTAAGAAATCATAATTCTGTAGGACGTCTATTGTCTTAAGAAATATTACCAGTCTGCAACATCAAAACAATCAAACTACTGAATTGATCCAAAGAAAATCCTATAATACTAGAGAAAAGTATATGGTCACTGCTACAGTCATCTTTCTGATTTGTTCTGATGAGAAGAATGGTAGAAGAAGATGTAGATGAAAAGCACGTCTCGCATACCAGTTAGCTTTTCTTCTCTCTTAATATGAGATAACAGTTTTCACATGTAAACCCTTCATTTGACATATTATGTAAAAGGCCTGCAACTTATGGTTTATTAATCACCTCTAAAGGAGGTGTTGAAAAGATCATAGAATTTTCTAGTTATACCGTGAAGGATTGCATACCTTGAGTTTGTCAATTTTAGGCCCCTCTAAGCCATTGAGATAGAGATTAGTAATGCATGTTTGGCTTCATTTTTCTTAAAACCATCAACCTCCAGATCAGATTCCTCTGTATTGCGTAAGCTAGATATCAGCCTTTCAAATTTTTTAGACAATGTTTCAAAATTAAAGTGCTTATTCTTCGCATTAGAATCCTTCAACATCCACAAGTTATTGTCGAATGAATATTCTGTAGAGGTGAGCGAAGACTGAAGATTCTTTTCATCAAACAGCATGATTCTTTTCACGTGTTCAATATCATGGACTCCAGAAGATGAGGGTGCATGCTAACAGGAATATAATATGAAAGATTGGATTCAGTGGGCAGAACTGATGCATGCATCAGCAAAAGATTTGCTCCCTGAACAGGACACAGGTAGTGGTGAGCTCATTCACAAAATATGAATCCATTACCTCAGAATCATAAAAGTTATAAAACATATACATAATCGACAGGCAAAAAATGAAAAGCCAACAAAAAAGAACTTGCATAAGTTGGTACTGTGGATGTGACGTGAGTGGGGACCACCATGAGCTGGGCAAAGGTTTTGTTTCTGCGTGAAGAGAAACAGGCCCACCCGATTATGTGTGAGCCTATAAATTATCTTTTTTGCCTAGGGTTTAGGTGAGCAGGCAGAGGGGATTAATCGGGCAATTGAGAGGGTGCAAGCCGGCAGAGAATAATTCGGCAAAGTGCAGGGATTTGTTGGTGGCTACAGTGCAAAGGCAGGAGATTGTTTTTGAGCGCAAACGGAGGTTTTGGCTGCGGTCTTTTGCGGCTACAGGAATTTTTGGGCGGCAAATCCCTTTTGTAGTTGTTCTTTGATTTGTGCATCCCCTTTTGAGAGAGATATTTGTGTGAGGGATCTGAGAATTTGTTTGAGGTTTTAGATTGAGTGATTGTAAACCCTAGTTGTATCTCTCCCTCTAATAGTAGATCTCCCCCTCCTTGTCCCGTAGACGTAGGCAGTTTGCCGAACCACGTAAAAATTTATGTTCTTGTCGTGATTTGTAATAGCTTGTAGGTTCCCTCGACGCGCAGTCCTAGAGCTGACGAGAGGAAGAGCTGATATCTCACTTTGATGAGATATCTGGATTTTGGTTCTTGTTTCCTTTGAGAAACGAGAATTTCATTGTGATCTAATCTCTTGTTGTGCACCTTGCGCACCGGAGGTGCTGCCGAAATTTCCGCTGCGCACAACAAGTGGTATCAGAGCTCCGGGTTAGACTTGGGAGCTTGTTTGAAGGATTCGCTGAAGGATTCCTATTTGAAGATTAGATCGACAACATGGGTGAAACAAGCACATCGGGATCGTCTCTTACGAAGACGATACATAGTTTGAGCATCAATAACATGAAGATTGATATTCCGAAGTTCGACGGCAAGATTAACTTCGGATTGTGGAGGTGTCAGGTGATGGACGCCTTGGACGCTCAGAATTTGGAGGAGACTCTTGAGTTACAAGAGAAACCTATCGATATGGAAGCTAAGCTTTGGAAGAAGATGAATAGTAGAGCGTGTGGAGTTATTCGGTCATGTTTGACGCCGGATCTTATTTATGATGTGATGAACGAGACGTCGGCGAAGAAGATGTGGGAAACACTCAATGAAAAGTATCTTACTAAGAGCATTGAGAATCGGCTTCACTTGAAGAAGAGGTTTTACCAGTTCAAGATGAAGAGGGGAGTTTCCATTAGGGAGCATGTTAACAACTTCACAAAGCTACTTTCAGACATGGCCAATGTGGATATCATGGTTGAGGATGAAGACAAGGTGATGCTACTTTTGTGTTCGTTGCCTGATGATGATTATGGTACTTTTGTCCTAACTATGATTAATGGAAGAACTACTGTTAGTTACAAGAAGGTGACCTCAGCGTTGGTGAATTATGAGTTGAGGAAGAGTGTGGATGAGTCCTCCGAGAAGGCATCGGGAGATGCATTAGTAGTTCATGGCCGTGGTTCAAACCGAAGCAGATGGTCGCGGTCTAAAGGTGCACATCGTGGGATTCGTAGGAATCAGTGTGCCTTTTGTAAAGATGATGGACATTGGAAAGCCGAATGCCCAAAGTTAGATCGAGCCGAGAAAAACAAGGGGAAAGCTGTACAAGCTTCAGAGGTGAATGTTGTCAAGACTAGTGGTGACAATTCAGATTCGGATTCTTCGGGCTATTCGTTGTCTGCACTACCATCAGTTTGTGTTACCAACTTTATAGAGTGGATGTTGGATTCGGGTGCTTCTTACCACGTTTGCCCTAGGAGGGATTGGTTCTCCAGCTTTCAGAAGTTGGAAAGAGAGGATGTTGTGCTCATGGGTAATGGACATACATGCTCAGCTTTCAGAAGTTAGAAAGAGAGGATGTTGTGCTCATGGGTAATGGACATGCATGCTCTATTGGTGGTATTGGTACCGTTCGTATTCGGATGTATGACGGAGTGATTCAGGAGTTGGATGAAGTGAGGTTCGTTCCGCAGTTATCGAAGAACATCATTTCACTAGGAACTTTGGTAGCATCTGGCTATAAAGTGACCTTGGTGGATGCACGTTTGAAGGTCACATTGGGGTCCATGATTGTTATGAAGGGCGTCAGAAGGAGCAATTTATATTATTTGCTCGGAAGCACGACGATTGATAGAGAGATGACGAATTCATCAGATTCGGATAGACTGTGGCATTGTTTGATGCTGGGTTATTTGATTGGTAATGCCGTGTATAGGTTATTGAGGAGTGCTTTGACCTGCAGTTTGAAGTCCTGTGAATCCATTGGTATGAGCAAGAAGACCGAGGTGGAGTTTGGCACTTCTATCCATCATTCGAGGGGTCTTCTGAGGGGTGTTCATTCAGGCATTCGAGGGCCTTCCAAGGGAGCATCATTGGTAGGTAATAGGTATGTGGTTTCCACAGTTGGGGATTGCTCTAGGCATTGGTTGGTTGCAACCAAGTCCTGTTGGTGTGAAGTCCTAGAAGCCCGTAACAAATTGAGGAAGTGTATTGGCAGAAAGGTGAAGGTACTTCAGTCTGATGTTAGAGGGAGGTACAAGAGGGACCTATATCTGCATTTGTGCCGAGCTCACGGCAATAGGAGACACTTTATTGGTGTGGAAACTTTGAGGCGACGTGATGAGATGGCAGATTTGGGGAGCTGTTCCTTTCTAGAGGAGGATAGGCATTTGATGTCGAGCATTGGCATTGGTGTGCAGGCTACGACATGTTTGAGTCATCTTATGTATAGGTTGCCGACTGCTGCATGTAGAGATTTTGGATCTGGTGGAGCTGCTTCAGATTTGATGTGACACAGATTGGGAATCGTGTTGATTTGGATGCAGATGATAGGTTGATTGATTCGAGTACAGCTGATGGATGTAGTCTGGATATGGCCCTTGGTTCATCTCAGGTGGAGATGTTTGGATTGTTTCAGTTTGGGGCCATTGGAGGTGCTATCAGTCGTAGACTTGATCATGATATTGGAAAAGGGTTGCGAACTCTTCTAGTGGATTGAGGCCTTTGGAGGCCATTTGGGTGAACTACGTTCGGCTTGATTCCTTGGGCAAGAGGATACATAGGCAGTCTTTATGATGCAGCCGGGGTTTGGATTTTGATGGGGGTGAGACCGATTTGGTGAGTAGATACCGACGTTTGGGAGAGTGTTCACACTCCCGTTTGGGTCTCGACGTGTTGTGGATGGAGTCCGTTGTCATGAGTCCGTTGCCATGGCGTACTGGATGCAACAAGTGAGACATTTGTTTTGGTTGGTGTCGGCTCAGTTTTGGAAAAACTTCACCGAGGTGGAGAATTGTGGATGTGACGTGAGTGGGGACCACCATGAGCTGGGCAAAGGTTTTGTTTCTGCGTGAAGAGAAACAGGCCCACCCGATTATGTGTGAGCCTATAAATTATCTTTTTTGCCTAGGGTTTAGGTGAGCAGGCAGAGGGGATTAATCAGGCAATTGAGAGGGTGCAAGCCGGCAGAGAATAATTCGGCAAAGTGCAGGGATTTGTTGGTGGCTACAGTGCAAAGGCAGGAGATTGTTTTTGAGCGCAAACGGAGGTTTTGGCTGTGGTCTTTTGCGGCTACAGGAATTTTTGGGCGGCAAATCCCTTTTGTAGTTGTTCTTTGATTTGTGCATCCTCTTTTGAGAGAGATATTTGTGTGAGGGATCTGAGAATTTGTTTGAGGGTTTAGATTGAGTGATTGTAAACCCTAGTTGTATCTCTCCCTCTAATAGTAGATCTCCCCCTCCTTGCCCCGTGGACGTAGGCAGTTTGCCGAACCACGTAAAAATTTGTGTTTTTGCCGTGATTTGTAATAGCTTGTAGGTTCCCTCGACGCGCAGTCCTAGAGCTGACGAGAGGAAGAGCTGATATCTCACTTTGATGAGATATCTGGCTTTTGGTTCTTGTTTCCTTTGAGAAACGAGAATTTCATTGTGATCTAATCTCTTGTTGTGCACCTTGCGCACCGGAGGTGCTGCTGAAATTTCCGCTGCGCACAACAGGTACAGCACTGAAAATGAAGAAATGCTCATGATAACTAAAATTAACAGCCATTGAAGTCTGCTTTAATGATAAAGTGGGAGACTATGTTATGGAGCTCCCCAGGCCCAAAATCAGATATGAATCTTTATTAGGAAAAAAAATCTAAAAGTAAAAGTAAAAGTAAAAGAAGCCTGTACTTGAAAACCGGTTCATTAATGCAAACATCATGGGAGCAACATACTACATTTACGAACGGATGAAACTAAAGAAAAAGAGTAGAACTTGCTATATTTCTCATTCATTATGAGAAGAGTGTAATACCCAATACGTATAAATATTGTATAATATTTATAGAGAAACCTATAAAAGAAAAATAATATAATAAGAAAAGGAAAGTCCAGTAAGAAACGGGACGTGTAATAAGGAAAATATTTAAGAAAAAAACCATAGTAGAAGAAAGTCCTAAGGAAAATATATCATATTTAACATTTTCCATGAGTTAACCACCAAGAGTTTGGATAACAAGTAGAAAAATTGAAAACATCTGAGCCGTAACAACGAAGTCCCAACGCAAGAGATAGACGATGAAGAATCATTGAGATCTGAGAACTGTGCTGAGAAACAGAGTTGAAAATCCAAACTAGAACTAAGCTGAAAAATCAAAAAAGAACTGAATTAAGGATCCAAACAAGAACCGAGCCGTGAAATTGAAAGAGAATCAACTTCAGGATTTAAATGAAAACTGATTGAATGAAAATT